CAAGTGGGAGCCACCCGCCCGCCCGCGACGGAGGTGGGTCGGGCTGGAGCCCAACAAAAAGGTACTGGCAACCGGAAGTGGCCAGTCAGTCAAGCTCAGACTCCGGATCAGGCACAGACTGGGGCGAGGGGTTCACAACGGATTCAACTTCAGAGGAGGAGGAGATGGGGATAAATACAGTCAAAAGCAAATATATTCCCATCCAAAATAAAAATAAAAATTAAATCCGAAATAAAAAAAGGACTGCGAGGGGAAGAATTCCATCTCACTGATTGGAGAAGAATAAAGATTGCATGTGCCAATTTGGTCTCACCAACCACACTAGCATTCCCAGTTCGGCTAACGGAAGGGGGACGGAGAGTCTTTTCACCAATGAACCCTAAGGACATGCATACAATTGTGAAGGCAATTCCAGACAAAGGACTCAATTCTGCCATGGTCACCACCCTCATAGATGGCATTTTTTGGGGAGATGATCTGCTCCCATTTGATATAAATCAAGCCTGTAGACTGATCTTTGACGGAGCAGGGATGTTCGTGTTTAAACAAGAATGGGAGGACAATTGTACAAGGCAGCTAGCCCAGGTGACCCGGGCAGACCACCCACTCTACGGCTCCACCCTGCAGCGGCTGATGGGTACAGACCCAACAATGATCACCCCCCAGGCGCAGTTCCAGGGCCTACAGGTCCATGAAATTATGACAACCACTCGCGTGGCCAGAGAAGCCATTTGCGCAATTTCCACAGTTGTTGTCAAGCCATCGCCGTGGTCCTCGATTAAGCAAAAGGAAAGTGAGAGTTTTGCACAATTTGTGGATCGCCTCAAGGCAGCAATCGACTCCTCAACCCTGCTCGCGGAAGCAAAAGGCCCGGTCCTCGCAGACTGTTTACGTCAGCGGTGTAACTCAGTAACCAAAGAAATCCTACGTTCACTGCTAGCGAGGTTGAGTATCACAGACATGATTAGGCACATTGCAAGGGAAGAGCATCTAACCCAAATTCAGGCGGCTGTTACTACCATGATGGCTAATGTGATGGCATGTTTTAAATGCAGTCAGGTGGGGCATATGGCAGCAAACTGCCCTCGGTTGGGGGACCCACCAACAGCGCTCCCCCCGCACCAAAATCGACCCAGAGGACTCTCTTGGGCTTGTGGAAAGAAGGGACATTTCGCCAGGGAATGCAGATCTAGAAACCAGGGAAACGGGAGGGGGTGAGGGCACCAGGGCCGTGCACAGCCCTCTCCCACGTGGGACATGAGGCGGCCCAACCATACCAACCGCGGATGGGGTGGAATGCATCCGAACCTGCAGCCCCCTCGAGAAGCAAACAACTTTGTGGCTCAACCAACAATCCAGCCAAACCTGACCCTACCTCAGGAACAGCAAGAACCACCCCCTGGGGAGGAGACCCCGGGGTGGCCCTGGCGGTAAAATGTGATAACCCGCCAGTGGTTTGGGGGACCTGTTCCCTCTGCAATACCTTAAATGACATCACCATTAGTGTTCGCTTTTTGATTGACACCAGAGCAGATGTTACAGTCATTCCCGAAAAAAACTGGCCCCAGCACTGGAAATTGGAGAATGCCCCCATGGTGGACAGAGTTGGAGGACTAACCCGGGCTCGAAAGAGCGCTCAATTAGTAGCGATCACGCTTCACACAGAATTGACACCAGAGCAGATGTTACAGTCATTCCCGAAAAACCTGGCCCCAGCACTGGAAATTGGAGAATGCCCCCATAGTGGGCAGAGTTGGAGGACTAACCCGGGCTCGAAAGAGCGCTCAATTAGTAGCGATCACGCGTCACACAGAAAAAGGACCAGAGAAAACCATCACCTTCTTCCCATATGTCATGCCTGGAGTCCCACCCCTGTTGGGAAGGGACGCTCTAGCTGTTTTGAAAGCCAGGGTGACAAACTTACTGTGAGGGCCACTGCTGCACACCCACTTCCACCAATCAGACTGATGTGGAAATCATCCGACCCAGTGTGGGTCCAGC